TCTAAATTTTGGTTTCTAAAATCTTAATTTTTTGTAATGATCATTATCAATTTCATTCAATTGAAATTCATTATTAGAAGTATTGCCTGAAGAATATTTTATATTAGATTTGGATTCTTTGTCCAGGAAAAGAATTTATTCTAATTGGTTTTTAAATTCATCTGAGACATCAAGTTTATGGATTTTCTTTTTGGTTAGATATTTATTTGCATAGTGACATGATTTGCCACGTTTCCAATAGTATGCGATTTTCTTAGAGGAACTGGGTTTGGATTTCGAGATATTGGAGGATTTAGAATTAGTAAACTTTCTCTTTTATACTAAGGTTTCTTTTCGTAGTTTGAAAATTTGTTGTAATATTTTTTTGTAGAATATTTGCAAGTTTTGTGGATAGGTGCCCTTCGGGAGGAGCATTCTGATACAGGAGGAAGAATAGAATTGTAACCAAATTGGTAGCAAAATTGGCCGAGTTTGGTTTGACTGGTTGTGCATTCCTTCTTTAATTGATTTTTAAGTTTGATATAATTACATAGGGATAATCCTTCAGCGCAAATTGCAAATATTAATTCATCGAAGGTGTATTGATTGTAGGGGATTTGACCATTATGTTTAGTGCGGATTCTAGTCTTGACCTTTTCGGCGAAAAATGTGGGAAGTCCGGTAATAAAGCGTTCTTTCCATAAATCTTGGTTGACATCATGTCGTTGATAGAGTTTGGAGAGAAATATATCTTTGTATGAAGCGTAGAGATAGATATTGTTCTTCATGATGGCATAGGTACTGCTATTCATTTGAGATCGATAAATGATCTTTAAACTTTGTTTTTTTTTTTTTCCAGCAAAATTGAAGCTATATTGATGAAGAAAGCAATATACATGCGAAACTTACATCAACAAAAGAGGGAAGTGCAAAGAGAATCATAGCTGGCCTTAACAATCCCAATCAGGTTGGCACCGCTAAAGAAGCATAATCATTTGCTAGCACTTGACTCTAGATTGGTGAGAAACCAATCAAGAGGAACCAAAGCAAAGAAAGAACAAACAAAACAAAACAAAAAAACTAGCAGCAGAGTAACAATACAACAACAATTCAACTCCCCTGTGTCACAATTTCTAGACATAGTGGCTGACTTGCTTCAAATTATAGATCACATCTTGCACTAAGTAATTAAACTCTTTCAAAAAGAAAGAAGCCCACATAGCAACTCTAATCTTTACCAGCTCATCCAAATCAGTCAAATCAAGTTGTGCCTTATTAAATAAACACTCATTCATAATTTTCCACACTAACCGCATTACTGTTAATGGAATTGTCCTCCAAATCTCCTTCACATTTTTCTTCATTTTTGTACCTGATCACAAATGTAATAATGCCTCCACTGAACCAGGAATAACCCAACTTAAATTCCATCAGTTCACAATATTGGCCCATATTCTCCAGATCATAGAACAGTGAAGTAGAACATGGTTCAAAGACTCTACCTTAGATTTACAAAGCACACAGAGTGCACTGACATTTGAATTCAGCACTCCAACCCTTTGCAAAAACTCAGAGGACTTAATCCTACCTCTCCAAGCTAACTAGCTCAGAAATTGTACCTTGAGAAAGGCCAAATTATTCCAAATACTTTTAGTGATTGTAATAGCTGGCCTTTTACATGCTTCCACCCACTTCCAAATTGATGCCACAGTAAAAGCTCTAGAGGAATGAGCTAGCCAAGAGCAAGAGTCTTCAACCCCTTTATTTAGCCTAGGTGCATTCTGCAACTGGCCATTAAGATTCAACACTTTCTCATCTTCCCAAGCAAAAAGAGGCCTTCTAAAGGCAAGTTTCCAATCTCTATCCACTCCTCTTCTATGGAAAAAAATCAAACAAATTGCCATCTTTTTCAACTGACAAGGTGAATAATCTAGGGAATACCACACTTAGACTTTGATTGTTAAACGACCTATCAACCTAGAACTGCAATCTTCTACCATTTCCAACAACTAACTTGAAATTTTGCAAAAATAAATCTCACAAAGCAAGATTTGCTGAAGCCACTGATAGTATATATGCCCTGCCACATATTAGACATCAACACTGAATCTACTAATAATGGGCTCCATCTGCCATCCAAACCCTCATACTTACTACAAACCGCTTGTTTCCATGAAGCTGACTCCTCTTTGCCATACCTCCACTACCACTTAATTAATAAGCACTCATTAACCTGACTTAGATTTCTCACACCTAGCCCACCTTGATTTTTGCTTAGACAAACCTCCTTCCAACAACTAAGTGCACTTTTTTCCTGATTTCAAATGCTCCCCAAAGAAAATTAGCTTGAATTCTATCGAATGATTTTGCAAAAGCCACTGGCAGCTTCAAGATGGATAGGAAATATACTGGCAAGCTTGTCAAAATAAACTTTATCAAAGTTAATCTTCCTGCAAAAGACAAGCATCTTCTATTCCATGAAGCTAACTTGCTCTTGAACTTATCCACCACTGGTTTCCATGTACTCTTCCTCCTTGGATTTGCTTCTAATGGGAGCCCCAGATAGTTCATTGGCAACTTTTGACTGAGGCAATTAAATTTTTTTTTGCAAAAACCATCACTAGATCATCCTGAACACCCACCCCACACACTTTACTTTTATGAAAATTTATTTTGAGTCTTGTCATCAACTCAAAGCATCTTAATATTCTTTTCACGTCAACAATTTCCTCCCAATATGCTTCACAAAATATAATAGTATCATCAGCAAACTGCAGGTGTGATGGTTTCAACTCATTTGGCCCTATTGTTCCTCCTCTAATTAGGCCCTCTTCTTTTTCTCTTTTCATAAGAATATTAAGGCCCTCTGCGACAATGTTAAAGAGGAAAGGTGAAAGTGGGTTATCTTGCCTGAGGCCTTTCATGTGGGAAAACTCTGATGTAGGTGATCCATTTACTAGCACTGATATTCTAGCTGTAGATATACAAGTCTTCATCCACCCTAGCCATTTCTCACTAAAACCAAAATTGGTCATCATTGAATGCAAGAACTCTCAGTTTCCTTTCTCTTTTGACCTTCTTCACCAATCCACCACTTCATTGGCAATTAGTAGCCCATCTAGAATATATTTTCCACTTAGAAATGTTGTTTGTACTTCACTAATGATCTTGGGTAAATGTCACGACCCAAACCCGGCCCTATGGGTTTAGCACCGTAACCGGCCAGGTTCGGCCGCCGATAAGGCCTTCAATTAGCAGTTTAAACATAAAACATGAACAGATAATCAAACAATCAAACAGATAGGTTATGCATTTAAACAGATACAGTCAGTCAATTAATTCCAGACTCCAGTCAATCAGTTCAGTACTTTTAATCAGCTCAATTATCAGTCATAATCAATTCAGTTTAACGGTAATCAGTGTCTATCGGTAATCAATCAGTCATTAATCGGTAAGCAGTATGAGGGTTGTTACAATAAAACCTGCCTTAACCTTCTTGATAACAATTTAGCTATTATTTTGTACATTGAGCTAACCAAACTGATTGGCCTACAGTCACTCAACCCCACAAGATTTTTCTTCTTGGGAATTAAGGTAATAAATAAACTATTCACTCATTTGGCCAACTTACCATTAGAGTGGAACTCATTCATCATTTGCACAATCTCTCCTTTCATGATGTCCCATCATTTTTTAATACATTTTAGATTAAAACCATCTGGCCTTGAAGCTTTGTTACCTTCACAATCTTTAATTGCTTCCCAAATTTCATCCTCTAAAAAAACTGCCTCCAACAATCCAGATGAATCTGTTTGACTACTAAGGCAAAAACACCTGACAATTTTGGTCTACACCTCCATCCTTTAGTAAACAACTAACCAAAATGATTTACCACTGCCTGTTTAATCAAACCACGCTGATCATGAAGTACTCCATTCTCATTAACTAAGTTCAACAAGTTTTTCCTCTGTCTTTTACTTGCCATTATAAGAAGAAGAAAAAAAAAATTTGGTATTTTTATCCCTCTTTTTAGCCCATACATTCTAGATTTTTTATGCCACAACCATTCCTTCTTCTTGCTCAGATCCTAAGCTAAACTTCTAACTTCTGCCCTTCTTTTAATCTCAGAATCTTGAAGAATCCTTTCTTCAGCTTTTAAATCTCATTCATGAAGTTCATCCTCTGGTTTTTTTCAACTGCTCATCGATGTTACCAAACACTTCACAGTTCCACATTCTCAAATGTGCTCTAAGATTTCCTAGCTTTTCAATAACCTATAACTGGCCCAACCACTAACTTGTGATCCTTCCCAACATTTCTTTACTTCTGTTTTGAATTTAGGAAGCAAACATCATGCATTGATGAATCTAAATGGTTTTGGGCCCCAATCCCTCCCATCTTCCATAAAGAGTATTGGGCAGTGATCAGAAATGCTTCTAGGTAGCCCCTACTATTTAAACTTGAATCCTTCCACGCACCTACGATCGATTAGGAATCTATCAATCCTACTCCATATAGCTCTATCCATTGTATTGCACCAAGTCAAATTTTTGTCTAACATTGGCATATCTATCAGCTCCAGCTTTTCAATCAATTCATTAAAGTCCTTCATATCCCTTTCCTTTCTAGAACATCCTTTTCTTTCACTCGTGAATCTTATTTCATTAAAGTCTCCACCTATACACCAAGGACTTGAAAAAGATGGTTTAAACTTAGCTAAGGACTCCCATAATAGTCTTCTTTTCAACACATCATTGGGTGCATATACATTTATAATAACACAACTAAAAGAATGATGTACTATACCAGATAATAGTATGAAGTTTATGTTACTGCAACACTCTCCTTTAGCTCAAAAATTTGTGGATTCCATGAGCATAACTTACCACTAGCACTTCATTTTGCACCCACCTCCATGCACTCCAACTGCTTCCATGGCCATAATGACTTAGCAAAAATATCATCTACTTTGCTTCTCTTAGTCTCCTGCACCAAAAGGACACCAATCTTCCTCTCCTTAACTAAATTTTTAATTTTTCTTCTCTTTTCTTCTCTTTTTTGAACTCTGCTTTCTTCACTTTCAGTGCCTTGTTGTCACACCACAGGCCATCAGCCTTAAACACTGCCATTTCAGTAGCAGCCTTGCAATCATATCTCACGAAACCAAACCTTGATCTCATTGCTTTTCTTCTTTTTGCTGGGATGAAAGCATCCTTAACTACTCCAAACTTATTAAACAAAGTAAACAGACTCTTTGGATTCATTGAGTTTGGAATCTCATCTACAAAGATCGTAAACAATCCATTTTCCATTGATCTACTGCCTTGGTTTCCCACTCGTCTTCTTCTCAGCACTGGATTCCAACGTCCAGCCTCCATTCTCGTCAGGTTTAGCTTTCTTTCAACTCCTCTGTATTTTGACACTCCTCGAGAAAAACCATTGCTTTTCTGGAAAGTTGAGAATGGTTTCTTGATCTTTAAACTTGTTAGCCATAACATCAAATCAAAGATACATAACATGGTCAATTGTTGATTTTTGGCCGCCTTATGTTCTTACATTGATTTTAGAAACTAATCATTATGTGTAGTGCTTAAAATTGTATTCGATTTCAAAGTTTGAGTGAGAATTTGATTACATAAATAGTATCAAGGGCCTAATATATATAGCGAGTATATTTTGAGAATAACAATCCTTGTCTTCTGTTAAATTTGTTTTGTTAGATAAATTATACTGATAGTCTCTATATTTTTGGCTCTGTGTCATTTTAATTCCTCTAATTTTAATTAACTCAATTTTGGTTCTTAATTTATGATTTTATCTCAATTTGGTCTAATTAATTACAATGAGTATTTTGATGAAAAATGTGCACATAAGTGATATGTTATGCTTTTATAAGAAAAATTGTAAATTTGTTTAACTTAGTGAGTTAATCTCAACCAATTCAGTGATAATTTCTTTCCAAAAACCCTAATCAAAGTTATCAATTGTACTAAATTGATACAAAATCTAAAATTAACAGTCAAAATCAGATTAGTTAAAATTACACGAATCAAAATAACATAAGAGTCAAAATACAAATACCTCCAGTATAATTTACCCTTATTATTTTTCTTTTTTGGGTGAAGGGAGGGGGAAAGGGAAAGAAATAGTTGCACTCACAAGGATAATTTTATAATGGGCCTTTTAACGGGACACATCCTATAAATAGAGTGTATAGCATGGCATGCATCAAATATGTGATTGATAATGTGTCACCTCATAAAAAATGACATGAATTACCAGCCCCATTTAGCATGTCAATATATAACCAAAATCAATTGTGTTTTAATTGTGACCTAATTAAATTGGTGGAAGTTATGAGCTATTATGATTAAAGTTAGGCTGTTGCTACACTATTTCCACCAGTAGATGATTTTATGAATCTTCTTTATGATGGTAAAAGTTGTTGATTTTTGACCTCTTTCATTACACATTGCATTTACAAAAACTGATTAGGTTCATCATTACATTTTTAGAAAGAGACGTGAGTTAAAATAATTTACTAAAAAAGAATAGGTTAAAATAATCAATAAGATAAAATGACATCCACAATTCATAATTATTTTACTTTTTTTTCTGACAATTATTAAATCAACTACAAAACAAGACAACTAACTTTCTAAACAAAGTTATTTTAGTTAAGTTAAAATAGTCAACTTTCTAAAGAAGCCATTGTGTTCAAAATTCTCTTTGATCTCAAAGTGTCAGTGAGAACTTCATTAAGTAGCATCAAGAGCCTGTAATATTTCTAGTAGAGTCTTACAATTATTATTATAATTATTATTTTTAATTTTAGTCCGGGACTTTTGGTATCTTTATTTTACTTGCAAGCCAATGGAACAATAAGCATAGATTTTATTTACGTAATTACTGAAACTGATACAGATTTGGTGCACTCATCAGAGCTGAAATCGGCAAATCCCAAATCATAAACTATAGATTTTGCTCCCTTGGGACAGAGAGAGAGAGCCGTTGGATGTCTTGGGACAACAGTAGAGGGAAAAATATCATCCCGTAAAACAGGTACATGAACAACAGAATGGAAGGGATTGCCCAAACAAAAATAGAAAGGCTTGAAGATGCTAACACAGCATATGTCCCTGTAATGAATGCCACCAACATTGCCATCATAGCATAAGCAGTACAAAGAAAAGCTAAAGCAAGTTGTCGCTTTAGTAAAATCGGGTGGTCAGTCATAGTATAGAGGTGGTTAAGCACTGCAAAACTGGATAATGTCAGGGCAATGGTATCTGTTATCACAAAAGCTTTGAAAGCTGCTTTTCTTGTTAGAACGGCCATTCCTTCGTTCAGGTCTTTGTGATCAACAATGTAGCCACCAGGCATGGTGATACCTGCTGCGAAGGTCACCGTTGCTATCAGTGTAGCCACTATCAAATCGGTTTCCTTCGATTTTGAGATGTTTGCGGGTACGAATGCTTTAACAGGTAGAGTTGGCTGTAAGAACAAAAACAAAAACTAAATTATAAACAAACAAGAAAATGGTTACATCAAAATAATGACCATTAACCAAGTTCATAAATTCTATTAAACCTCTATTTATGACCAAGAGGTTACCAAAGAAATAAAACCCCATTAATGAAAAAGATAAACCAATAAATAAATATAAGATATTAAAATGGTCCAACAAAAACTAAATTATAAACGTAAAAAAATGGTAAATGCTAGTGTTTGAAGTTTGACTACTCAAATTACCCTTTCCTCTGTTTGAAATTTCTCTTGAAGAAAGTCCCAAGCTTCTTTCGCTTTTTTAGCTTTCATGATTGTTTTCAAGATCCAGTCTGAGACGCCTCGCTGGATTAGAGAAAGCGCTGCAGCATTCTTCTTTTGTTTCTCCTTGTCAGTCTCATCATCGTACCCATTCTCTACTGTATCCCACAAATCCATAGATAGAAATAGAGTTTCCATCTTCACATTCCAAAACTCGTAGTTCTCACCATCAAAAATTGGAATTGTGGCCGCCATGGAGTTTTAAGGATTTTCTTTCTTCACCTTGCACCTGATATTGCTTCTACAAACCAACAACTCTGATACCAGATGGCAGCCTTTGTGTAGGCTTATGCAACTTGGTTGTTGTTTCAGTATTAGAATTGAACAAAACAACAAGAACTTGACCAGACTTTGGCAAGAAGAATAGAAGTAGATTTTTCAGCGGCCAAACATCAAGTATTTATACATTAATTCTTCACAACTTGATGTCTAAAGAAGTGTAGAAAATATCAAACCCTGGAGATTAACTATAGTTTACATAACTTAACCACACATATCTATGGTTACAGCTGTCATGCAGAAAAAGTTAATTAATCACCAAGGCCTCGTTTGGCAATATGTCGGTTTAGTCAAAAAGTCAAAAAGTTACTAAAAAAATTAAAAAGCCAACAACTCATATCAAAAAGTCAAAGATTCTATTGGTGAAAAAAGAAGTTCACCGTTGGAGATGCTCTAAGAAGTGTACAAAATATCAAACCATTGAGATTAACTATAGTTTACATAACTTAACCACACATATCTATGGTTACAGCTGTCATGCAGAAAAAGTTAATTAATCACCAAGGCCTCGTTTGGCAATAGGTCGGTTTAGTCAAAAAGTCAAAAAGTTACTAAAAAAGTTAAAAAGCCAACCACTCATACCAAAAAGTCAAAGATTCTATTTTCTCTTTACTTTTTGCACATCTTTTTGTAAAAAGTCAAAAAATCATCACAAACATACTAATTTTTTTTAGCTCATATTTTAGCAAAATAACTAAAAAGTTACTAAATTAGCCGGTCCCCAAACGAGGCCTAATTGTCAAAAATCAGATTGAATTGAAGGGCAGATGTGATATGTATATACACACTTTTTTATTTTTATTTGTCTTTTTGATAATGCTACCTAACTGAAAAATAATTTAAAAAGCACTTGAGAATAAAAAATGACTTAAAATTTGGGTATTTGTTTTGACTGACCTTAAAATTTGGGTATTTTTTTTTAACATCCGATGATGAAAATAAAAATATGCTATCTCACAAAATTCTCAGTGAAAAGATAAAATTTAAGCTTTAATCCACTCATTTATTTGTTTTGGCCAAAATATTTTAAATCAGTTTTAACTTAAATTTTATATATTTGATCCGTTAAAATATATTTTATTAGTCTATTTATTTTTATTTTATAATTTTATATGTTCTTGTGTATTTTTTTTTAGGTATTTATATATATATATATATTATAAAATACATAGCAAATTTATGCGATACACAGTAATCTTTTGAAATCATTTCCTTCTTTTTCTCATTTTTTTTTTGCTGTCTTTTTCTCATTTTTTTTTTTTCCAACATGTTTTGGCCTTTTCTTTTTTTTTTTTTTTTTAAAGGGGCAGACGGGGGGAATGAAATGGGAAGGAGAATCAAATACAAAATTGTTTTTGTTTTCAGATAGGAGAAAAAATCAGGAAAAAGAGGGAGAGAAAAAAAGAGGAAGAAAATTGACTTTTAAAAGAGGGAAAAAAAGTCTTGAATATATATACATATATATTTTTACCAAACCTTTCTTTCAATTCTCTACATTACCTTTTCACCAATACACTATTCAAAAAATACATTAAAGTTGAAATTCTAAACTTTAGACTAAGAATTAAAAACATATTCCCCAACCTTGAGGGTAATCAGGAGAGAGCTTGGAAATTAGAAAATTTATCATATTTTCAAAAGGTGAATTTTTGCAAACTTTCACTCAATAAAATGATATAAACTGTGATACACTATTTTACCGCTTTGAATGGTTAGTTTCAAACCACCTTCATAAACTGTTGTAATTTATCACTTTAAATAATTGGTGTTTCACCACTTACACAAACTGTTATAATTTACCGCTTTAAATAATCTGTGTTTCACCACCTACACAAACGGTTATAATTTACAGCTTTAAATGGTCAGTGTTTCACCAGCTTTAAATGGCACTACAAGAATTTTCACTTTTGGCGACTAAATTTTTAGTAGCCAAAAGTTAATTTTTAGTCGCCGAATGGTTTTAGCGACTAAATTGTTTGGTCGCAAAAGTAGTGGCCAAAAAATTGTCGGTAAAGGTTATTAGCGACTAAAATTATTTTAGTCGCCAAATGTATACAATTCCCGACTAAAATTTTAGTCGCCAAAAGGTTGGACATTAAATTAAATTAGACCCTTTTCTGCGACCAAGCTTTTAGTCGCCGAAAGTTCCACATTTTTAGCTTCTAAAATTTTAGTCGGCAAAGAGTTCTTCTTTTGGCTACTAAAAATTTAGTCGCCGAAAGTCACACATCTTTGGCTACTAAATTTTTAGTTGGCAAAGAGTTTCTCTTTTGGCTACTAAATATTTGGTCATTTAAAGTTCTACATTTTTTGCAACTAAAATTTTAGTGGGCAAAAGTGTTTTTATCATTTAGTTTTTTGTTTTTAGCTATGAAATATTTTAGTCGCCAAACGTTTGATTTTCTTTTGGCTACTAAACTTTTAGTCTCCAAATGTCTTTTTTTTTCTTTTTTTTTTTTTGCTACAAAATTTTTAGTCGCCAAATGTCTTTTCCCAATTTCTTTTTAGCTACTAATTGTTTAGTCGCCAAAAACATGATATTATGTTTTATGGCAAAATTATAATTTCTCCCCAACCTGTCTATATTCAATGCAATCTATAATACGTATATAAACAATATGGTACATACTATCAATCATTCCACAATCTGCATCCATATACCAAAAATAAATAACTTTAAATGTCAAAGTCCATACAAATCAACTATTGTCCAAACTAAAATAATAATTCCATACAAAATATATCACACAAAAATCAAAGCTCTCCGTATACAAAAAATACACTTACTACCAAGCGAAATTACCATTTGGCATGGTACAAATGACCATCGTAATATGTACCACGACAAAAGGTGATATATGTATCACGATAAAAGTTTTCTATAGACCATGACAAAATTTCCTATACGTACGCCGACAAATGGTATATATGTACCACGACAAAAGGTGATCTATGTACCACAACAGTCATTATTTGTTGATTGCCAAAAGTTTTCTGTATCAGTAATAATGAACCACACAAAAGCTAAGGACGACAAAAGTATTATATTAGTTCTACACAAAAGTAAAAATTCTTCTCCATACACCAATATGGATTATCCACAAGTCCACACAACAAAGCCATCTACAAAGAAAAACAAAAAACGAAACATTAAAATTGGTTACAAAATATCAATTCAATTAGTCATATGGAACATGTTCTAACATGCATTTAAGGTAGAACAATCGATAAATGTCTTCTTGGAAATAAAACAAAGTATATATATATGTATCATGCTATATTTATTCCAACCAACTGCACAAACACTGTAATATGTAATTTCTTTGTCCTATAAATATATAAAAGCAATTATTAGAATATGTAGCTATTATTTTCATAAAGTTGTCGCTTTTTAAACTAAGTGTTGTGAGTTTCTCAACTAAGTGTAAGGCGTATTCGAGGGTTGTTACAAATTTTCGCCCCTGGAAAGCCCTTTTTCGAGTAAGTTTAGGGCGTATTCAGCTATAACTCCCAACCTACGAGTCCGAATTACGTTTTGTCAATTCTCACAAGTCTTATTTGTCATGGCAAAGCTATCCGTGTGAGCCACATGGTCGTTCGGGGGCTGTTTTGAATTTTCACCCCCAAAACGCCCTTTTTCGACTAAGTTTGTGGCGTATTCGGCTGTAACTCCCAACCTACAGGTCCGGATTACATTCCGTCAATTGTCACAAGTCTTATTTTTCATGGGGGAACTATTCGTGTGAATCACACGGTGGTTCGGGGGCTGTTTAGAATTTTCGCCCCCGAAACACCCTTTTTCGACTAAGTTTAGGACGTATTCGGCTCTAATTCCCAACCTATGGGTCTGGATTACGTTCTGTCAGTTCTCTTATGTCTTATTTTTTGTAGGGAAGCCATCTGTGAGAGTCACACGGTCGTTCGGAGGCTGTTTTGAATTTTCACCCCCGAAAAGCTCTTTTTCGAGTAAGTTTAAGGCCTATTCGGCTATAACTCTCTACCTACTGGTCCGAATTACGTTCCGTCAGTTGTCACAAGTCTTATTTGTCATAGAGAAGCTATCCATCACAGTCACACAGTGGATCGGGGGCTTCTTTGAATTTTCGCCCTCTAAACGCCATTTTTCGACTAAGTTTAGGGTGTATTCGACTCTAACTCCCAACCTACGGGTCCGATTTACATTCTGTCAATTGTCACAAGTCCTATTTGTCATGGGAAAACTGTCCGTGTGAGTAACATGGTGGTTCGGGGGCTGTTTAGAATTTTTGCCCCTGAAACGTCCTTTTTCGACTAAGTTTAGGACATATTCGGCTCTAACTCCCAACCTACGAGTCCAAATTACATTCCGTCAGTTCTCACAAGTCCTATTTGTCATGGGGAAGCTATCCACGAGAGTCACATGGTCGTTCAGAGGCCGTTTTGAATTTTCACCCCAGAAAAACTCTTTTTCGGGTAAGTTTACGGTATATTCGGCTCTAACTCTCTACCTACGAGTCCGAATTACGTTCCGTCAGTTGTCATAAGTCTTATTTGTCATGGAGAAGCTATCCATGAGAGTCACACAATAGATCGGGGGCTGCTTTGAATTTTCGCACTCGAAACGCCATTTTCCGACTAAGTTTAAGGCGTATTCGGCTCTAACTCCCAACCTACGGGTTCAGATTACATTCCTTCAGTTGTCACAACTCCTATTTGTCATGGGGGAACTATCCGTGTGAGTCGTACGGTGGTTCGGGGGCTGTTCAGAATTCTTGCCCCTGAAACGCCCTTTTTCGACTAAGTTTAGGGCGCATTCGGCTCTAACTCCCAACCTATGGATCCGTATTACATTCTGTCAGTTGTCACAAGTCCTATTTTTCATGGAAGAACTGTCTATGTGAGTCACACGGTGGTTCGGGGGCTGTTTAGAATTTTCGCCCCCGAAACGCCATTTTTCGATTAAGTTTCGGGCGTATTCAGCTCTAACTCCCAACCTACGGGTCCGAATTACGTTCCATTAGTTCTCACAAGTCCTATTTGTCATAGGAAAGCTATCCGTGAGAGTCACACGGTCGTTCAGAGGCTGTTTTGAAATTTTGCCCCCGAAAAGCTCTTTTTCGAGTAAGTTTAAGGCGTATTCGGCTCTAACTCTCTACCTACGGATCTAAATTACGTTCCGTCAGTTGTCACAAGTCTTATTTGTCATGGAGACGCTATCCATGAGAGTCACACAACGAATCTGGGGATGCTTTGAATTTTTGCCCTCGAAACGCCTTTTTTCGACAAAGTTTAGGGCGTATTTGGCTCTAACTCCCAACCTACGGGTCTGGATTACATTCTGTCAGTTATCACAAGTCCTATTTGTCATGGGGGAACTGTCTGTGTGGGCCACATGGTGGTTCGGGGGCTGTTTTAAATTTTTGCCCCCAAAACGCCCTTTTTCTACTAAGTTTAGGGCGTATTCGGCTCTAACTCCTAACCTACGGGTCCGAATTACGTTCCGTCAGTTCTCACAAGTCCTATTTGTCACGGAGAAGCTGTCCATGTGAGCCACATGGTCGTTCAGGGACTGTTTTGAATTTTCACCCTCGAAATGCCCTTTTTGACTAAGTTTAGGGCGTATTCGGCTCTAACACATCCTGAGGTAGCTCAAGAATAGGTTACTACGCCAATAAAGCAGATGTTTGTTAGTCAGTCTGAAGTCATTAATAAGATTATTAACTTATTGACGAGAATAAATGCTTAGCAATTGTTTAACTTAAACCACAATTGCAAGATTCAACACATCAGAGAATCCCACATTAAGAGTTGTTGAGCATTTTGCAGCCCATAAAGAAATATATTAGAGATGGAAAAGGACATTCAGCTTCATAAAAAAAGATAAAAAGAAAAGAAAAGAAAAGTGAAGCATGAAAAGCATATGAGATTGAAGTGAAGAATGCAGAAAAGAAACATCCCATGAAGATCCAATGGAATCTGAGGACAAAGACATCTAATAGGCTAACACAATCACCTCTAATGTAAAGTGTTTTAAAAGAGATGATTTTTACTATCTGTTCAATCATTTGTGGTTGGGAAGAATTACTTTGACTAAGAATAATTACTGTCTAGTATGTTGCATTCAATGGTCATCATGGTGATGAAAGTTGAATGACTAGTTGGCCCCAGCCTTTTTTACATTTTTCAAAACTTGACATTTATTGACCCCATCCTTCTTTAGAACAGGGAACATAATCTTCTGGCAACCTGTGTCATGGAAGTTAGTAACACTTCTAGCAGCAAATTAACAACAACAATAAACATGTATTGAGGACAAAAGAAAAGAAAACAAAGGGTTAACGGTGCTAATGTCTGATTCTAATGTAATAGGTTCTTGGAGAGCCTATTGGAGACAAGGATTTGGATTAAACAGGATGGGTGACAAGTAGCATCCTAGCAAGGTTGAAAGATGACTCACTGTTTGGTGCAGGTGCTATTTGGAAAAAACTATCTGATCAAAGTATGACTATGTATATCTCTTTTTGCATTCATTTTACCTTGATATGGTAATGGAAACTGTTCTAAAATCATATAAATGACGTAAAAAACGGAACTAGTTTTATTCATGTGCCTTGGGTTTGTGAGGGAAAAAAGTTCAGAGGGTTGTGACAGGTCCTTTTTCGAGTAAGTTTATGGCATATTCGGCTCTAACTCCAAGCCTACGGGTCCAAATTACATTCCGTCTGTTGTCATAGGTCCTAATTGTCATGGGGAAGCTGTCCATGATAGCCATACGATGGTGAAGGGACTGTTTTGAATTTTCGTCCCTGAAACTCTTTCGACAGAGAAGAATATATTAATAAATCAAACTGCTGATGTTTCTGCTTTTAAGTGTATAGCTTTAACTTTCTAAATGCCTATTCATATACATTATAAAAAAGTGACAAAACCTTTTTTTCCATGGACCTTAGGTTGCATGAACAACCCTTTTGTGTTTCAACATTGACCACCTTTAGAAACAATAATGGGACAAAGACAGGCTTAAGTAGATGGAGTTAATTTGAAAACTCTTGAAATTGAAATTGAGATTTATTTTCCCATAGGTTTGTAACATTGATGAAGTAATAGCATGACAGCCTACCTGACCTTAAAGATGGAATTGTGTATCTTTTACCATCATCCAACTCTTGTACATGTTTTTTGCCTGTCTTTTAGTTTTCACTTTTTCACTCCCTTAACGCCCTTTTTCGGTTAAGCTTAAGGCATTTATGGCTCTAACTCCCAACCTACACGTGCTAATTACATTCTGTCTATTGTCACAGGTCTTATTTGTGACGGGGAAGGTGGCCATGACATCCATATGGTGGTTCGGGGGCTATTTCGCATTTTCGGTTAAGTTTAAGGCATTTTCGACTCTAACTCCCAACCTACACATGTTAATTACATTCTGTCTATTAACACAGGTCCTATTCATCACAGGGAAGGTGGCTGTGACATCCGTACAGTGGTTCGGGGGTTGATTCGCATTGTTGCCCCCTTAACGCCCTTGTTCAGTTAAGTTTAATGCATTTTCGGCTCTAACTCCCAAACTACGTGTGCTAATTACATTCTGTCTATTGTCACAGGTTCTGTTTGTGACGGGGAAGGTGGCCGTGACATCCGTACGATGGTTCGGGCTATTTCGCATTTTCGCACCCTTATAGCCCTTTTTCGGTTAAGTTTAATGCGTTTTCTGCTCTAACTCCCAAAACTACGTGTGCTAATGACATTCATTCTATTGTGATAGGCCCTATTTGTCATAGGGAAGGTGGCTGTGACATCCGTACGGTGGTTCGGGGGCTGTTTTCCATTTTCACCCCTTGTCGCCCTTTTTCGGGTAAGTTTAAGGCATGCTAATTAAGGTGTTTTGCCACAGGAGGTCCTATGTGTCCTTTTTTTTTTAGTTTAAGGCACACTAACTACCCATCTCTTCACCAACCTCATCATTGACCTAAGATTATCACACTCCCATAAATTTGCTTTGAGTAATGTTAGGGATCATTTAAAAAATATCATCAAATGCATTATGAAGGTTTTTCATCCTTTGATTAGTGTGTGGTGTTTTATTGTATGTGTAATCCAAATGTGGAGAATCTTTCATGATCCTTTTCATGACATTTTTTTTTTCATGATCCCTGACAATACTCATTTGCTTAATTCTACATCTAGAATCTGACTTGAGACTGGTTTGATCACTACATCTATAACAGTTGAAATGATCAATTAAGTAAACGTACATGACATGAGGATCACATGCATATTTTTCCTATATGTGCAATGCTGCACCATTGATAAAAGCGTTGAACCAAAGTCCAAACAGAGTTTTATAAGCTATAAAGTGTCATTTCATCAACTCTAAGCACTAAAAATGCAAATAGCTCAAACCTTGACGGCCAAAGTAATTTGTCCACAAATTTTTTTAGTAATTTTCAAATAATGTTTGACAACCAAGAGTAGAGTCACAAATTGCAAGTTAAGAACAAGTAGGATCATTTTCAGGTGATCTGCCATCCCAAAAATACTTCTATAAATTATTTGGTAGAATCGAACCTTGATGGTGTTCAGGTCCATTATGTCAAATTTGGCCTTCTTTTGAATTGATCGTCGCATGTACTGGATTGCAAACTTCACGTACAAATTGGAAAAACAAAGTATAAGTCATAATACCATGCTTTAGGCCTTGGCACCCAATATATCATAATATTTGCAACAGAAATATTAGCATAATAATAATGATAAACATATGAGAGTTTGTACACGTGTGCATTGCAACTTTTACATTGAGTTTAGCAGGCAAGAGTTGTTCTACATTAAAAAAAGGAAGTTAGACATTGTTTTAATATGAGAAAATGTCTTCCACAAATGGATCAACTTACAGTGAACTTGGAAAGACGAACTTTGAATGTATCCACAAGTTCCATCATCAAGTCAACCAAATCAGAGAAAGGGCTGTCAAGAACCATTCCAGCAATCGAAGGATCTTCAGCTGCATACATTAAGCTGCAAATAGCTAGTCAGAATTATAATGGCAAATACACAAAGTAAAGAGGCCTCAAAACAGCTCAAAGCTCATGTGAATGTTGCAATGTCTACTTATCTTAGCTTCATGCTAAAAACCTCAAGCACCAAAGTTAAAATATTGTTATTTTATGATAAGTTGCTAGTGATAATGCTGAAAGTTATATTTCAGAGAATTCCGTATGGCCAAACATACCCAGGTAAAAACATTCAACTGAAATAACTATGTTGAATAGCATCAAGCAAACAAGCATGAACATATATTTTCCTATGAACTTGTTTAGGCTTAGGACAGAGTGTGTATGCCTGTCAGAACTGGCGATATGGTGATCAGGAGGTTAAATTTTTTTGATAAAGCTCTTTTATGCAAATGTTGTGGAGATTTGCATTAGAAAGCAATAGATATTGGAGTCAGTTATCTTAAAAAGAGTGGACATCTTTGGAAGTGGACTTGTCATGTGAGTATACATTATGTTTTTTTATAGACAATTGTACAAGACTTATTCATATTCGTTTGGTTTAAATACATAAACTTAGGCCCTTGTGCTCTCTTGTTACATGAAACAAATATACAAGGAGGAAAAGAAAAGAAAAGAATAAGAGAGCTCTAAATGCCCATTTTAAACCAAAATACTTTAGGACAATACACTTTCTTTTTGGACAAAATTAAAAGAAATTTGCATTCAAAACTGTGAAAATATTAAACTTGTGCACCGATCACAGACATGTATTTTATGAATGACACAATGTATCAAATACAATCAAGTTTTATGAAATAAATTAATGATACGTGTTATTTTCCATCTATAACATATAAAATCACATGCATCATTTTCTGTGGTGGATTTTAGTTAATAATAGGGGTAAACATACATCATGTTAAAATATACATCAATGACTAGAGCAACCCAATTGGCCATAGAATATAAAAATAAATAATAAAAAGTAAAGCTAAAGATCAAAGTGTGGACATCATAAACTCCCTCCTCACAGACTTTATATTAATAAAATATAATTAAATTTCTCAGCCACTTACTTCATTCCACCCTAGAGTGACGTGCTCTCCTCCAGAAAGTCTAGACCCTGAGAAATCAAGGGTGAATACAGCAATATTTGAAGGCAAAAGTATTATAGCAGCTTCACTCGCATCAGCCCTGCACCCACTGGTGTAAAATCAAGACAAAAGAAGTTAGTAAAAAAAATTTAGAGGGAAAAAAAAAATTTGTAAAAGCTAATTCAATTATATACCAGGCTAATGTTCATAAGATCTAAATATTAAGGAAAAAATAGCCTTGATCATGTCATCATTGAGAAAAAAAATAGATGAAGGGCATTTGCAATCACTTGCCTGTTTCTTAGTTCGAACGAAGGTCAAAAGCCTGCCTTTTCAAACTGAGTTTCTTAACAAGACAAGTTCCAACACGATATAGTTTTTCTGGCATAATAAATAATGTCATTTCAGACCTTGGTTCCTTAGTGAGTGCCCATATGGTTAGATGTATTTCTTCTTGTGAGAACAAGAAGTTTTCTACCAAGTGAGGACCTTTAGTTCTTTTTTGAACTATCACAATTTGATTCTCACAGTACAATGTTTTGAAATTTTACAATATCTGTAAAGTGCAATGTAATTAGCAAGCTCTTAAAACATGACACCACAATTTCTATTCAGCCAAATTTATTTGCTAACCTGTTGACGTGGCAGTAAATTATACAAGGCATAGCCTTTCCTTCTGGACGAATAATAGGCATGTAATGACTACATTGAAGAACATCTCCTTGACTATTTACAACCTGTAGAACATAAATAAGGCCAAAAGTTAGTTAGGAACTCCAAGATTCTGAACATGAAATAAATCATAACACGATTAAGGATGACTACCACTATAGTCTACAAACAAAAGAGAAAAAAAGAATAGTGATATGATTGTCCTCTAAATCTTAATTTTGTTTTTTGTTTGTTTTTCCTAAGAAATAATCATGAACAACTTCGATCACATATTACATATTCAACTAGAGCGGAACCCCTTTTCACTATGATTTAACCCCTTTCCACAATAAAAACACATGCAACCTCCATACTTCTTGAATAAGCTGGAGTTCAAATTTTATGCTATGACTTGGTATATAGTGCAATTTGCAATGCCTCTACATTTGAAGCACCAACAACAGAGTGGCAAGAGAAAAATATTGGAAGAGAAAAGCCAACAATATTCAATCTATATATTGGCAAAAACCAAAAAAAGAGATGTTCATAGCTTAAAAGGTACAACAAGTGCTAAAACTTCACACAGAAGTTAGATCTTACCTCCACATCTTTCCGCTCGTACCATTTCCCTTTCAGCATGAACTCTTGATCCAACAAATCATTTTTTGGGTTGTATTCAGCTCTGCAGATATCATAAAGGTGACAAAGTAACATTTAACACTGCTCAAAACTTCCATAAAATTGAATACACCTAGTCTTTTTGTAGTTCAGTATTGTTTATGAATCAACAACATACATAGTAGTTGTTAAGGACATGAAATTCAAGTGGAGGAAAATCCCATGAAAAAAAGAAGAAGAAGATATAGTTCAGGCGAATTCTACAGTAATTGTTTAGTATAATATTGGGGTTTCAAGAGCTCAGCAAAAAGAGATTTCAAGTCCTTAATACCTCATTTTTCAAATCAATCTACCAAATCAGAGAGGGGTTGAGAAACAGAGTCTTCATTTGACTGGCAAGGCAGTAGACATGGAAGAAGTCATTGGAACTGTAAGAGAGTAAGAGAGTAAGAGAGTGAGAGAGTGTGTAGTCACAACATCAAACCCACAAAAAAATCCAATAAACCCATAAAACTAAAATCCATAATTTCAATTCAAACACAATAAACCCATAATTTCATAAGAACAAAATCAAACCCACAAAACTAAAATTAAACCCATTTTGGACATGAAGAATTAATTAATTTCGTACAAATCAAAAACTTCAACCAAGCCCATTTACGAAATCAACACAAAAAAAAAACCCTAGATGAAGTGTGAGAGATGGGGAAATACGGGAAGAGAGAGAGAGAGAGAAATAAAGAGATGGCTCGAGAGGAAGAAGACCCAGATTAACAGAGAGGGAGAAGACCGACAGCGACAGAGAGAGAGAGAGAGACAAAAAAACCTGTGATTTGCAGCAGTGGCGGTGGTGATTTCCAGCGGTGGCGACCTGCGATAATGGGAAGCGACGGTAGCCAGCGACGTGCGACGGTGGAGCCGGGGTCAGGTTTGGTGGCGAGTGGTCTGTGAGTGGTCTGTGTGTGTGTGAAACAAAGGGGGGGGGGGGCAATATTTACGCTTCCCTCGAAACAAATTTCCTGCCTTTAGCGACTAAATATTTCTTTGGCCGGCAAAAACTAATTAATCAACGACTAAATTATTTAGTCGGCAAAGAGTTCCCAAAAAAATAACACTTTTTTTAAGCGATGAAAATTTTTTGGTCGGCAAAAGGCAACATACGCCAACTAAAAGTAGAATTAGTAGCCTAAAATTTTGACAAACGCCGACTATTAGTCACCAATAACTATTATATGGCTACTAAAATACTTTTTGGTCGCCTATTTTGAATATTTTTAGTGACTAAATTTTGTTTCAGTCGCCAATAGCTATTATATGGCTACTAAAAAATTTTAGTAGCTAAAATTCACAACATTGCCGACCAATAAGAAAATTAGTCGCTAAAGGTCTGACTTTTGGCGACCAAAAATGTTTTAGTCGCCAAATTTGGTCGCCAAAGGTGCATTTTGCTGTAGTGTGGTCAGCATTTCACCACCTACATAAACTGTTATAATTTATTGCTTTATATGATTGGTTGAACCACCTAATTTTTTAGAGATGTGACCCCGCCGGAATAGTTATCACCGAAATAGTGATCGACGGATGAATAGTATCCACCAGAAGAATAGTCTGCCGGGTGAATAGTGCTCCAACCAAATGTGTTTTCTTAGACAAAACAAAGTAGTCACCCAATAGCGAGCAGAAAAATTTTCGGTGATGCCATTATGATACCTAATGATGCCAATGTTCGCCATTCTATGCCCATATCAATGAGGCAAGGGTTTGTCCACGTATGTTGTTCCATGATCGTATCGACGAGTTATGTTCTTATCAAGTGGTGCTTTTCCATACCCGTATCGACGAGTCGTGGACGTATTAAATACCAAGCGTTGCCATCCCATGGTCGTATCAACAAGTCAAGGGGTTTAATAGATGCCATTTCACACTCGCATTGGCAAGTCATGGGGTTTACATGCCAAGTGGTACCTTTGCCATACTCGCATTGACAAGACATGGGGGTTGTAAATACCAAGTAGTGCCTTTCCATGCTCGCATCGGCAATACATAGGGGTTTAAATTCCATTTCACGCTTGCATTGGCAAGATGTAGGAATTTAGATGCCAAGTGGTGCCTTTCCATGTTTGTATTGGCAAGACATAGGGGTTTAAACTCTATTTCAAGCTCGCATCGGCAAGACGTGAGAATTTAGATGCCAAGTAATGCTTTTCCATGCTTGCATTAGCAAGACATGGGTGTTTAAACGCTATTCCACACTCATATCGGCAAGACGTTAGATGCCAAGTGATGCCTTTTTATGCTTGCATTGGCGAGACATGGGGGTTTAAATACTATTTCACGTTCACATCAGCAAGACATGAGAATTTAAATACTATTCCACGCTCACCTCAGCAAGATATGGGGATTTTATTTTTTTTGATCGGCAAAGAAAACTTTATTGATGAAGCACGTACATGGTACAATGCACGTTCACATCAGCCAGACATGAGAATTTAAATACTATTCCACGCTCACCTCAGCAAGATATGGGGATTTTTTTTTTTTTTAATCGGCAAAGAAAAATTATTGATGAAGCACGTACATGGTACAATGGGAAAAATCAATAAAGAGGAGCTAAGAGCTAAATGAAGCTCAAATCTCCAGTTGGTGAGAGACCAACAAGAGAGAAAAAAGAATACAAACAACAAAGCTAGGAGCAAAACTGTAACAGAAACAGGGCACTACAAAGCATTGCAAACAACAAAGCTAACACTGCACTTTACTGAACAAAACCATGAAGCACTACAGAGCATTGCAAAAGACTACAATCGAGGCAGATAATCACTGCACTGAACAATCATACTTCAGATTCATATTCAGCCTACTTTCACCAACTGCAAAACCACCACCCAGGGCATTTTCCAAAACACTATGCAAAGCAGACCATCCTAGTCTCAACCTATGCACAGCAATCATCTAGCAGACCCAGCACCCACAGAAATGCACTGCAGCACCACAGATAGAGCCTAGTGCATCAAGCAAACCAGCAACAGATAAATCCTAGTGCAGACCAGCAACACACCAGATAGAGCCTATTCAAGGGCAAAACTAACCGCAAGCAATCAAGCAAACCAGCAAGAGACTTTCCAGCATCAAGCAAACCAGCAAAGCAGACCTGAGCAGCATACAGATCAGCAACAGCGCACTAGGCAGTGCAGACCCCAAGACTGAGCAGGACCCCGTAGGACTGTTGCATTGAGGCACTACTGCTGCAGACCTATAGAATAGAATTCAGCCAGAACACATCCTCCATGCAGCAGCAAACAGATCTTCAGAGCTTCCCAGACCAGCAGGCCAGAACCACAGATCTGCAGAGCAGGATATGAGGATTTAAATACTATTACACGCTCGCGTCGGCAAGACGTGCAAATTTAGATGTCAAGTTGTACCAAGTGATTCTAAACTTTGCCAAGATGTATTAAGGGATGCCAAGTTTTACCAGGATTTTGCCAAGTGTTTGCCGAAATGTATTAAATAGTGCCAAGTTTTGCTAGAATCTTGCCAAGTGTATTAAATGGTGCCAAGTTTTACCGAGTGATGCTAAGTGTTTTGTCAAAATTTTGCCAATTATTTGTCAAGTGGGTGTCGAAATTTACCAAGTGGTATCATGATGCCAGATGTGATTTTGAGGAATTTTATGTCATTATGAGAAAATTGATGATATATCCAATCTAAAGAGGGTGCAAGGCATTAGGTCTATAGATATTTTTGTTGGTGAGAGGTCTACCATTTGTAAAATATTTTGGTGAGAAATCCTTTTGTTAGTTTTAGAAGACATTTTATTTCCAATTTGATCTCCTTAATTTATTTGTTGACTATTTTTTTTTATCTATTTAATTTTTTTGACTATCTGTTTAATTTTTTTTTCTATCTGTTCAAATTTTGACTATCTGTTCAATATTTTCTCTTTATTTGTTCAAATACCTGTCCACATTTTATTATCTATTTAAATATATATACTTTTTTTGAATTTTGTTTATTGGTTGAAATACCAAGTCAAACCAAATTCTATTTGTTGAAATAGAAAGCCAACAACAATAGTTAATTAACCTGTCTGTCTAATTTTTTGAATATTATTTGAAAGTTACTGTCAAGTGTGAGAGGGTAATTTTTGGTGAAAATTGGGCCGAGCTATGAGATGGACTTTATGGCCCAAAGTACGAAGGACTGGGTAAAAAAGGGCCGAGAAGTTTCTCCGGCCCAAGAGAGATGAGGTTACTCCGGCCGAAAGAGATGAAGTTACTACGGCTCAGGAATTGTAAAGCTATTTTGGTCCGAAAGCAACTTGAAGTTAGACCGGTCTTGGAGTTATACCGGTCGCGAATCGTTGATTCGGTCCAAACATACCATGGGTTGAACATGAGAGAACCGAGGTAAGGAGGAGTAAAGGGAGAACCGAACTAAGGATAGTTCGGCCTACTCTGTGGCTCAGCATAGCCAGTTTTACTTCTGTCAAAAATGGTAGTTCGGCCATGGTAAAAACCATCCCACTTGGTTTAAGCAGTGGGGGGGGTGTAAAAGGATAAGCATTATCCTACAGGAGTATGAATCCTAGAAGGACTCTACATAGAGGAGTAGAAGTCCTACTAGGATTGTGTCACTCGAAACCTATAAAAGCTCACAAACATCACCTTGGAGGAGGTAACACAAAAAACACGACACACAATTTTGCTTTCTGAATACATTGAGCTTTGTCAAGTTTGCTGACTTAGGCATCGGAGAGGTTTCCGGCACACACCTGCCGGCTAGCTCACGTTTGTGTTTTCAGGTGACAAAGCGACGTCGTACGGAGGAGCGCGGACTTAGTCAACAGGATTATACGAGGAGAATTATTTCTTCCCCGTACAATACCCACTATTGAAAACACGTCTATCAGGTCATCCTCTCGGACATTCCACCAGATGTCGGACCGCTTGACTGAAACAATGTTTGTTTGTTTGTTTATTTATTTATTTATTTATTTATTTGGCAATTAACACCTGTTATTTTTATATTTTAAACAAAAAAAATATTTTTGGAATTTTTTAAAAAAAAAATTATGATTTTTGAATAGAATTTTGAGTTGTGTATTTAGTTATAAGTTATAAGTTTTTGAATCAAACAGCTTTTTTTAATTTCTTGTCGCATCAAAAATTTATAACTTAATTTAAAATTCTTTTCAAAACTCATAACAAAATAAATTTTTTCTTTTCAAATTATACTTCCAAAACACAAAATACAACTCTATTCTCAAATCATAATTCTAAAACGTTACCAAACGCAACCGTAACTTTTCAAACAGTCATCTCTATTTATGCATAAATTTCAAAATTCAAATTTGAATTTAAAAATTTTTGCAAAAAAAAAAAATTAATAAAATTTAAATAAATGTGGTTTAAAAAGATAAATTCGGACCAATACTCAATCATGGTCTTCCAGAACTCGTCACTCCAAGTCTGAGAGGACGAAGTCTGAAAGATCATACACTGAAGGAAGCACATACTGGCCCTTTTATTCGCATCAAACTAGATCTAGACAGACGGAATTACCCAGATCATCCGACTTACGAACTGTGCTCGAAGCAAATGCACGATGCAAGAAGGATGCCAGGACAAGGGATTCACATAGAGTTTCGGCCTTACAATGGTTGGCTCCTCGGACGCATGGAAGCGTCGAGGTTGGAATGCCAATACCGCGCCCTGCCTACGAACCAACGGACAAAGTATTGGCAAGGCTACAGACTTCGCCGTTTGTTCCAGCGATCGAAAACGCGTCCCTACCATCAGGCTTCCTTCAGCTGAAATTCACCACATATGAAGGGAAGACAGATCCCTACTCACACTGGAGCCACTTTCGCCAAGTCATGGCTGTATACAGGCGAAACGAGGCGTTAATGTGCATACTCTTCCCATCAAGTCTTGGTGACCTAGGCTTGACTTGGTTTGAGAAACTTCCAGAAGGCAGCATAGCCTCTT